AAACCCTGAACCCTAAACCCAGTTTGAACTGAACCCTGCAAACCAGAGGTTGCTAAGAGAAGCTCTGTGCTGAGGCAGGTTTAAAGATACTGGTGGGGAGTATATCATATAGGGATTGTATAGAGAATGTACAAGGATTACATAGGGACTTTACAGGGAATGTATAGGGATTGTAAAGGGAATATATAGGGATTATCTAGGGATTGTGTACGGATTATATGGGATTATATAGGAGTACTGGGATTATATAACGATTACATAGGGATTATGTTCCTCTCGTCTCTACAAACCACCAGTAAGCATCCCTTGTCGCACGCCCATGGGAGGCTTGAGTGGAGACTGTCTGCGGCGAAGCCCTAAACCCGAAACCCCTAGACCCTAAGCCGTAAACCCTAATCCCCAAACCCTAAACCCTGCAGCTAAGCCTCTTCAAGAAATGTGCAAACTGCCAGGATGGGGACCTCTCGTCTTGCACCGACAAGGACATCCCTCTGACAGACATCTGCACCTGGCAATGGGCACAGTTCCAAACTTAAGGGTTTCGGGGTTTAGGGTTTAGGGCCCCAAACCCTAGATCCCCTCTGCAACACTAAATAACCCTACCCCAAACCCATCTAAGCCATAAACCCTTAACCCTGGTAGCACTTTCTTTACCATTCCCGTATTTTAGATCCCTATATGAACTTATGAAAATACATATATATATATATATGTAAATATATAAAACCCTTCATAACCTTCAAAAGTAGTTTCCTATATTGGGGTGGTCTCCCTATTTGGGGCAACCCTAAACCCTACACCCTAAACCCTAAAATCAAAACCCCAAACTCTAAATCCCTAAGCCCTAAACCCTTTTGATTACAGGTTTTCGTGCGAGGCCGCCTCGAAGCGTCGCAGCTGCGCCAGCGTTATGACATTGCGACTGTCAACGCCAGCTGCCCTTCGTGGGTTTCCGGGTTTAGGGATTAGGGTTTAAGGATTAGGGTTTAGGGTCCAGGGCTTGGGGTTCTTGAGGATCATATAAGGTTAAAAGAGATTTTATATGGAGATTCATGTGGGGGTTCAATGATAGAGCTATAAGGGTTTTTCGAAGAGATTTATATGAACTGTCGTCTGAACTCCTAACATCCCCTGGCTCACAGAGGGATTTCTAGGGTTTAGGGCTAAACCCTAGACCCTAAACGGCTTAGGATTGAGGAGCTCACGTTGAGCTGTCTACTCACAGCACTTTCTGAAAAGCCTGCCTTAACTGCTTTTCCTGCTCTTCACTTGGGAACTCCTCAGCCTGAGCCAAAGGGTTTGAGGGGATTCACGTAGGGTTTGGGTTTTCGGTTTAGGGTTCAGGGTCTAGGGTTTAGTTATATAGGGTTGCATAGGGAGATATAGGGATGTGCATAAGGATTTGTAAAGGGGAATGGAACATGGAAACCGCTGTTCAGGTTTCTCCATGCAGCTAGCAGGACGGGCATCAAGAAGCTACTTGGGGGTTGTCAAATATTCGTCTCCCAGAAGCAGCCCTTTCGCCCCCTTTCGCCTGCTTTTGCCCGCAGCATTTCTGAAACAAAATGCAAGAGACCCTATCAAAATCCGAATTACGTACAATGTCTTCTATCTGATAGATTTGTTGAGTGGACTTTGCCATGTTTTACAGCATGCTTCGCAGCCTATCCATGTCGTTGGTAAGGGCTTGGAGGGCGTTGTTGTGTTGATTAGCTTGCCCCGTTGCGGCATTGGGCGCAGACGTGTGACGGGGAGGCCGTTTCTCCGCAGGAAGGCCTGCAGCTACCCATTCTTTGAAATGAGAGGCCAGGCTTTTCATAGAAGCCCGAGTGGCCAACTACCTTCCCGGGCCATGTCAGTCTTTCGCGTCCCTTTCATGTGCCTTTCGCGAAAATCCGTTCTGCAACATCCGCCCCAGAAGCGAGTTCATATACATTGATACCGATGATGATGATGAGAGACAGCAAAAGACTGTAGTAACACATCTGTACTGAGAGTTGCTGGAGTTGCACATTGCAGCAATTGCTCACATGTGTTTCCTTAGAACAGATTAGCCATCAAAGCCTCCACAGACCAATGTTGCAATGGACCTGCTCCAAATGCCTGACATGAGCCAAAACGACCCTGCTACATTTTAAAACATGAGTTTTCGGACGATCCCTCTTGGAGGGTCAGAGGGACTTAGTAAGTATACTTATTACCCCTATAACCCACATGATAAACCCAGTTGTCTCCATTAGTTACGTAATTACTCAGTCCCCCTAACCCTGCCTAACCCTTCACCCAGGCAAGCACAAGATCACCGTGTGCCGCCCTTCCGGCAAGCGACATTGGGACATTTCAAACTTGCGGGACGTCCCTGCTGATTTCATGCCCTGGACACTTCACAGATTCGCTCGTATGGCTTCCATCTGTGTCTTTTACGACTAGCTGTGGCAGAGGGCCCTGTTAAACACTGAACCCTTTGCATCTCGGCTTGCGCAAACCCCGAACCCCAACCAAACCCTAAACCCCAAACCCTAAACCTTAAACCCAAAACCGTTAACCTTAAACCCGAAACTCTAAACCCCAAACCCTAAACCCCCAAATCCTAAACCCCAACCCCTAGATTGCGTGCCAAATTGCAATGGCTTGAAAAACCATCAGCGGATCTCCAGGGAAGCCCAAGTTGGAGATGAACCGAACCTCATCTTGCTTGGGCTTACCAGGGAATGGGGGTTTAGGGTGTAAAGAAAATACTACTTTGGGTCAAGGTTTAGGGTTAGGGTTTGGAAAAAACATTACTTTGGGCCAAGGTTTAGGGTTTAGGGTTTGGGGAATGCATTACTTTAGGTCAAGGTTTAGAGTTCAAGGACAACATCATATAAAAATTGTATAGGGATTATTATATTCCCTTCTTCCCTACTAACCACCAGCAAGTCAGTAGAACAAATAGCAGCCATCACACACCCGAACGGTAGTTTCCCATGTAGGGGACCCCACTATAAACCCAAATATGGTAGTTTCCCAAAATAGAGGGACCCCAGTATACTATAGCCCTTATTATAGGGACCCCCGAAACGGTACCCCCAATTTCAGGAAACCCCTATATGCTATAATCCTGATTTTTGGGCCCCCAAAAAAGGGACTCCTACGTTTGGGAAACTCCTGAGTGCGTTGAAGGTGGCCCAGTCTTTGCAAGAAAGGCAACGAAGCGCTAGCCTGTTGACCTGGCCGGACCACTGAGCTGGAGGAATGCGCAGGCCGTAGGGTTTAGGGTTTAAAGTTTAGGGTTTAGGGTCTCTACAAGCTTACGGCATCTGACCGCTGGTTCGCAGGGAATGAAGGCAGAAAACTGCTTTACGACTGGGGATTTTACAGGGGCCACTATACTTACGATAAGGATCCGTTCCTTCCCACTATAACCCTAAACCCTAAACCCTTAACCCCTTACCAGAGGTAAGTACAAGGAGCTACCCTGATTGAAAAGGCATTTTGGGCCTTGCTTTGCTCTCCGCCAAGTGCTGCCGAGTTATTGTACCTTACTGGAGATTAGTCCGGAATAAGGGACTACATTATAGGGTGTGGGCCTTGGGGTTGTTAGGGAACAAGGGAACATATTATATGGGGATTATGTAGGGATCCCTAAACCCTAAACCCTATTATGTTCCCTAAACCCTTAGGTCTCAGTAAGATACTCA